TCTTTTCTCTGATCAAAGAACTCACTTTGTCCATCTCAGCAAGTTCTGTCCATTTCACCAACCATTCCTCCCTGGCGGGCAGTGCCAAATCTTTCCATCTTACAGTAATCTCGCTGCAGTAATCATATATTGAAATAATCTTCCATGACTTTTTTCTAATTGTTTATCCATCAATCCTAGAAGGAAAAGTTCTGGCTTAATTGAATATTACTCTTTAAAATCCTCTGGATCAATGTCTGTATTTGAATCCATTTTTTTTTTTAGCTTTTTTACATGTCCACCAAGCATGATAAAATGTCCCTTCATGTTAATTCATGTCATTTTTTAAGAAGTTGATTTAATGCTTCATGGTAAACTGCCAAGAAATGCCGACCCATTAGGGCGGAAGGGGGATGTGAGAGCATAAATCATTTCTTCTCAATTCCAGGAAGAAACAGAGCACAATCCTACAGTAAAGCCATAAAATTCTGCCTGATAGTTGCTGCACAGTCCCTCCGGCCAGACTCAGGAACCTCAGCTTCCTCTGATACTCGTGACATTCACGTGACTTTTAAAGCAACCCTGTCGGGGTTTTTCCAGGCTGAGGGAACGCCTGGGAGAAGATGGGCTGCCTCAGATATAGCAGAGAGCTGCTGCGGTTGCACGCGTGCTAAGGGCCCAATATCTCTTCAGAAGCAGTTTCAGAGCGTGCACAGCTCCAAGGGGGTCCACGGGGGGGGGTTCAAAAAAGTCAAGGTGGTGGCTGTGACTATGCAAAGGACGGAGAAAGCACCCATAAAAAGGGGGCGGGGCTTTGATCGCACAGTCACAGCTGTCCTCTTGACTTTTTTGAACCCCGCCCCGGATCAAGCAGGGTCACAGAGCTGTATGGACTTGACCCCAGCACAGCCACCCACAGGCTGGGACCGATTCATGGCAGGTGTCTAGCTGAGATCGGCACGGTTCCCACCATGATGATGCTCCAGAAAGCCTTAAAGGCCTGGCTACTGACCCTGGCCTTGGGGTGGGGTGGACGGGATGCCCGTTTGTGGAGTTTTATGTGTGCTTTGTGGTTGAATGGGCATCTTCTGGGTGCAAAGCAAATGGAGCAAGATGAGAAGCAGGCACGGATCGGCCAGGAAGAGTGATCGGGGAAACCTCCGTAAGTGAGATAAACGACTGAGAGGAAAGCCAGGGAGGCAGAAGAGGATGAGCAGGATCTGTGCGTGGGGGGCAAATCCTGCAAGATGGCCGGCACAGAGTCACAATCAGATGCATGTGAAAAAGGGGCAGGGCTTCCACCAGTGTTGTGCCCAGCATCTTCACTTTTTTGACCCCAACAGATACCCCTCTTCCTACAACACGCCAGGCTTGGCATTAACCTAGGAGAGTTTTTTGGGGGGCGGGGGGTGGCTTAGCATATGTGCAAATCTAGTCCATTTAGTGAATGTGTGATTCCGGGTATTGTGGGAGCAGAAAGTAAGTGAATTCCCCAGTGAAGTTATTCACAAGCTGTTGTGTGAATCTTGCCTTTGCCAGCCCACCTTATTCACAGGGTTACTGGGATGGGGATCAAAGGGTTGGGGCTCCCTTGTTCTCCACCCTGGGAACATGGAGGGAGACAACAAAAGGACTGGAAAACTTTTACGGACTTTTTGCTAAAAGAAGAAAAAAGGGAAATGATGATTTATGGCTGTAATGATCGAAAAGATGAGAATTAAATAAGGGGTTGAAGGGATTTCTGGAATAGGTAAGAGAGAGGAGACAATGGGTTTGTTATTATCTATGAATTGAAAAGAAGGTCAAAAATCATTATAATTAGTTTCTTTCCTTTTTTTCTTTTTCTGCACCTTTTTTCTTTTTCTTTCTTTCTTTGCTATCTTTTTCTTTAATTTCACTTTTACTGTATGTAAAATTCTTAATAAATATAAATAATAATAATAAAAAAAGAGATTATAGAAGAAAAACAAGTAAAAATGTATACAGGTAGTCTTTGTTGAGCGACCACAACTGGGACTGGCAACTTGGTCGTTAAGTAAAGCGGTCACTAAGTGAAATCGCAGCTGTGCTTACAATCTTACTGCAGCTTTCCTTTGCTTTACAGACCTGTGAAGGTCATAAATGCGAGGACTGGTCGCAAACTTACTTTTTCATCACCGTTGTAACTGTGAACGGTTGCTGTATGAGGCAGTTACTAAATGAGGACTACCTGTATATCCCTAAATCACAATCAACTCCAAGAGACATCATAGACACATTCCTGTTGGGTATTTGGCTATAATAGAGGTGGAATATCATTGCCTTCTTCTGAGGATTTTCCTTTTTCCCCTGTTCCCTGTCTAGCCTATAATCCTGAGATTTCCTAGTGGCCTCCCATCCAAGTACCAACCCCACGTAATCATCCATTTTTTAATCTCAGCCAAGGGGAGAAATGTTGATCCCTAATAAGGAAATGAGGAAGATCCCTTTGGGGGGGGGGATTGCAAAACCTTTCCTAACTGACAGGGGCAAAGTGGGGCTCAGACGTTTCTCACAGCTTTACACCCAGGTGTGGTTCCCCAGTTGGAGTTCAGTCCCGGGCAGGAAGAATGAGCCCAGCGCCACCTGCTGGGGAAAATGCACGTTGCGTTTGGCCCACGCTGGGGAACTTTGGGGTGGGGCATCCCCTCTCCACCCCTTTGCTGAAACAGGTTTCAAGTCAGCTAAAACAGGCCGGAAATTCTGTACGAACTTAGCTGCCGTGCTCCTGGTCCAGCCAAAGACAGGTTTTGCTTGCTATATGGAAACTGGTAGAACGAGTGACAGTCTGCAGGAATCTCAACGTCCCGAGGTTGGATCACGAGCGTAGTTAACACACTTACAAGAATCCAATACCCGACAGCAGCGTTTCTGCACCTGGGCAACTTTCAGATGTGTGGACTTCAACTCCCAGAATTCTCCAGCCAGCATAGCTGGCTGGGGAATTCTGGGAGTTGA